AATAAAATAGAGATGATCCAGGTTAGATGCGGTTATGAGGGTCCAGATTCCCGCTGATCAGGTTCCTGACACAAACCCAGGAAGGCCAGAGAAATAGACAGGAGCCCCAGGCTCAATTCTAGCACCACCTGGTCCCCCAAGCACTTATCAGGTAGCCCGGAAATGAACACTCCTGGGTGTGGCCCCCAAAATGAAAGTTCCAGTGGAGGATGCTGGAGAGGCACTATAGGGGGTCGGGCGTTTGCCTTGCTTGGAGCTGATCTTTGGCATCCCACATGGTCCCCCAAGCACCACCACGAGTGACTCCTGAGCACCACTGAGCGTGACCCAAAAACCAAACAAAAGCAGCTTGGGAGAAAGCAGGGGTGAAGGGCAGCCAACTGGACAGGGAGGGGTGAGGCGCAGGACAAAGCAAATGTGCTGACTGTGCGTTTCAAACAGCTCTCCTTTCCGGGGAGAAAATAAGCATCCCTTGGGGAAGCCCCAGTTGGCCCTGCTTTTGTTCCCCCAGTCTCAGGAGGCTGATCCCGCATACCATGCCCTGGGGATGCGGGGAGCAGCCCCGAGGCCCTCGAAAGCAGCGCCCTATCGAGATGCACCCCGAAAACTGAGACAACAGTCCCATGGGAAGCCAGATGCCACACGGCTGCTACACTTCTGTCCCAAGTCACTATCCTGTGATCCTGCCCAAGCGCCCTGCTGCCCCCCCTCCCCGGACTCTCAGCCGGACCCTGCCCCCCTCCTCTGTCTTCCCTGCCATCCCCAACGCTTCCATTCCTGCCCCTGCACCCCTGCACGACTCCTGGCCCCTTCCCCCTGGGGACCCATGGGGGTTACCTGGGGCTAGATCCTAGACACCTCTCCTCCCTACCACACCTGGCTGCTCTGGCTTTGGTACTGGTGTTTGGGGGCATGCCTGGCTGTGCCTGGGTGTCGCTAGCAGTGCTCAGAGGACCGCTGGCAGTGCTCCAGGCACTGAGCCCAGACCTCCCGCATGCAGAGCCCAGAGCCGTCTCTCGGGCCCACCCCTCCTGCTCCTGAAATTCTCAGACGAGCTGTACCAACACCCTTCCCAAGCTGGCCTAACTGAGCATGTCAGCTTTTTCTCCCACCAGGCCACCCTAAATGATAATCTACTTGTCACCCCTGGATATATCGTTCTTGGGTTTTTCTCTGAATTAAAAATTACATACGAGGGCCAGGAGGACTGCCCATAGCTGGAAGCCTGCCTCATGAGCAGAGGGGAGAAGGCAGCTGGAATAGAGAAGGGATCATGAAGAAAATGATGGCTGAGGAACCGGTCGGGATGGGAGACGTGTGCAGAAATTAGATAAAGGACCAAACATGATGACCTCTCAGTATTGCAAACCATAATGCCCAAAAGTAGAGAGAGAGTATGGGGAATACTGTCTGCCATGGAGGCAGGGGGAGGGTGGGGGGTTATACAGGGGAGATTGGTGGTGGGGAATGGCACTGGTGGAGGGAGGGGTGTTTGATCATTGTGTGATTGTAACCCAAACATGAAAGCTTTTAACTTTCTCATCGTGATTCAATCAAATTAAAAATAAATAATACATATATTTAGCAGGTAGGGCATTTGCTTTGCACGTGGCAGACCCAGGTTCGATTTCCAGCATCCCCTATGATCCCCTGAGCACTGCCAGGAGTAATTCCTGAGTGCATGAGCCAGAAGTAACCCCTGTGCATCACCGGGTGTGACCCAAAAATAAAAATAAAATAAAATAAATCTGTATTTGAAAGAAAGGGAGAAAGAAGGCAGGAAGCTCCAGCATTGTGGGAGGGGGGTGGTCTCCCTTTTTCTCTTAACCAAACCACCATGAATTACAAAGATATAAAGATATCATCTATGATTGAGTTTAGGCATACATTGTTCCAAAACCAATGTCCTCAAATACCTTCCACCACTGTCCCTGGCCATCCCTCCTTTTAAATTCTTTTTTGGGGAAGGGGGGAGTCGCACCCAGCATTGTCAGGGGTTACTCCTGGCTCTGTGCTCAGGAGTTACTCCTGGTAAAGCTGAGGGAATCACATCAGGTGCCAGGGATCAAACCCAGGTCAGCTGCGTGCAAGGTAAATGCTCTACCTGCTGTGCTCTCTCTCTGAGCCCCTTTTATTTATGTTTTTTTGCTTTCTGGGTCACACCCAGCCAATGCCCAGGGGTTCCTCCTGGCTCTGCACTCAGGAATCACTCCTGGCGGTGCCTGGGGGACCATATGGGATGCTGGGAATCGAACCCGGGTCAGCCGCGTGCAAGGCAAATGCCCTACCCGCTGTGCTATCGCTCCAGCCCGAGTCCCGCTTTTAAAAGACTTGTTTTCGGGGTGACATTCAACTGTTTTGGGCATATAGCCAGCTGGTATTCAGGAATCACCCTCGGCAGGGAATCACGCAGTGTCAGGAACCAAACCAAGAGCCTCACACGAGGCACGAGTCTTTCCTACCACCTAGTCCCATGCCTAGGCCCAATATACTTTTTTTACAGTTACAAGGCTGCACACGATCGGGTTTCCGTCGTGCAATGTTCCAACACCCATCCTCCCACCAGGGACTTTTCCCACCTCCATGTCCCCAGTTTCCCTCCCTCCACCTTTAAATTTATAGAATGTTCTCAGTCTCCAAGGGCACCTGAGATGCCACCTCTTCCGGAGAGGCTTCCTGACCACCCAGCTAACTATGTGAGGGAACAATGGCACGCTCACTATGAAATCATCCCCACCCAGCCCGGTGTTTGTCAATATGGAGCACGAGAGAACTGAGAGACGAGAAAGAAGTTCTCAGTACATTGGTCACAAAATTAACACAACTCTGATGCTGCCCACGTGGAGCCAGCCTAGTTGGCACAGACCTCAGAGCCCCACAGAGCTGCCTCAGGTCGGATGCCAGCTGCAAGCCTGGAAGTTCTCTTGGCCACATACATTCCCGACTAACTGGCCACAAGTTCTGTGGCTCTTACCCCCCTCGGGTTCAATATTACGTTAGAATGACACACAGAGGGGGCCAAAGTGATAGTCCAGCAGGGAGGGTGTTTTGCCTCGCATGCAGCGGACCCGGGTTCAATCCCTCACATCCCATCTGGTCCCCGAGCACCGCCAGGAGTAACCTCTGAGCATCACGGGGTGTGACCCAATAAAAGAGTGACATGTAGAACTCAGCAAGACTCCTTACAGTGCTGCAGTAAGAGGTGCAGATCTAGACCGGCCACCTGAAGAGTCACACAGGATGAGGTCAGGAAGGTAGCCTGGTGGTGTGGCCCTCCTGTGGCATCAGTACACAGCGTCCTCCTGATGTGTCCCTTGCTCACCAACCAGTTAAGCAGAGTCTCCATGTGAGTTTATTAGGGTTCTATTACACGCGGCCGACTGGGGTTCGATTCCTCCGTCCCTCTCAGAGAATCCAGCAAGCTACCAAGAGTGTCCCGCCCACACGTCAAAGCCTGGCAAGCTACCTGTGGCATAGTCCATATGCCAAAACCAGTAACAAGTCTCACCAGGGAGATGTTACTGGTGCCCACTCAATCAAATCGATAAACAATGGGACGACAGTGCTGTTACGGAGGCACGGCTCACGAATCATCGGCGACTGGTGGTTGGACTCAATCTCCAGCCCCCTCCCCTCCCCACCTGGAGGTCAGACAGCGTCACCCATTGCGGGCCTGCTTTGTGGCATGATCCCCACCTCATCCTGAGTCAAATCTGAGCATACACTCGGTACAGTCCGAGGGGCCTGATGTGAAGAGGGCATGTCCAGGCTTCTCGACAGGCCCAAGGACAAAGGCCAATCAGGTCCTTTAGTGTCCAGCGGACTGGGACAGGGGAAGTTTCCCCACCGGCCACACCTGCTCCCCAACTACTGCACGGGCCCAAGACACCCTGCAGTGCTAGTAAGGAAGTGGGGGGCGTGGGGGGGGGGGGTATGTCCTAAGCTGCTTCTCACCCAACCAGCAAGAGGAAAAAGGAAAAAAAGGAAAAAAAAAACACCAAGACCAAAGAATTTAGGAGCTTTTAATAATGCTTCAGTTGAAAAATCACTGTGAGTTTTTCGGGGTCACGGACCCATCTCTGGCCTGGCAAGACCTTGCCCTGCATCCAAGCCACAGCCCCAGAACCACCCGCCCAGAACCGGCCAGCCCCGCAATCCTGTTAGTGTTCAGAGTGGAGGGGCCCCTTTGTAGTGCAGTGACGCCCCCCGCCCAGGAAACGAGAAGAGGTAGAATGAGCACCACGTGTGTGCCAGGCGCCGCCAGGCACTTCCAAGCGTTCTCCCGGCACCGGCCCCAGGAGACGGGGACGCCTGTTTCATAGATGAGGACCCCAAGGCTTGGACAGGTTAATCGACTCCCCCAGCGTTTCCCAGTCCACAAAGCTCTAGGCTGGGTGAGAATCCAGGCCTTACAAGGGGCCAAGGGTGCAGCTCAGGCGCACCCAGCTCTTGGCCCCCGTGTGCGAGTCCCCAGGCCCCATCCCTGAGAGCACCTGAGGGGGCAGGGATGGGGGGAGAGAGAGGAGGAGGGGGGAGCAGGGGGGAACTAAGTAGAAAATCCAGAGTGAGGGGCGAGGGAGAGCTCAGCGGGGAGGGCGCTTGCCGCTCCACAGCCGACTCAGGTCCAATCCCCGGCATCCCATCCGGTCCCCTGAGCACCGCCAGGAGGAATTCCTGAGAGCAGAGCCAGGAGGAAGCGCTGAACATCCCCAGGTGCGAGCCAAAAACATTAAAAAAAAAAAAAAAGATGCTGATGATGATGATGATGGTGCCGCTGACGCAGGGCTCGTGGGGAGGAGAGAAGCGCCGGTGCAGTGGGTCGGGCGGTGCTTGTCTGCAATCGCTAGCCCGGGTCCGAGCCTTCACACCTCAGACAGGTCCCTGAGCGCGGCCAGGTGTAGCCCCAAGACCAAAATGAAAAACAGGGAAATCCGGGGCTCTGGGCTTCCGGCCACTGAGTGCTCCTGCGTCCGAACCGGCCTGCCGCGGAGGGGCCGGCCCCAGGGAGCCAGCCCGAGGGCGCGCGGGTGGGTCCTCGTGCCCGGAAGGCCTGGGGGGCGGGGCGACATCACCCAGGGGCCACTCACTCCGTCAGCAGCGGCAGCAGGCCCAGCTCGCTCAGTCTGTCCTTGGCGGCCGCCTCCCAGCCCCTGTTGGCCTGGGGGCTCCGCGGCGAGGGGTGCAGGAGCCCCTCCACCTGGACCTCGGGCCTGAGCTCGGCCAGCGCCCGGCGCGCCCGCTGCTCGGCCAGCCGGCCCACGCCCACCACCAGCCGCACGCCCAGCAGCCGCACCTGGCGGCAGAGCGCCGCGTCGCAGACCCCCAGGAGCTGCTCGCGCTGCTTGGCCGGCAGGTCGGCCGGCGTGAGGTTGCGGCCGCTGGCGGCCAGGAAGAGCAGGGGACACAGGTTGTGGACGAAGCAGTGGCGGAAGAAGACCTCGGGCCGGCCACAGAGGCTCCGGAAGAAGCCCCAGAAGCGGGCCCCGCTCACCTCGGACTGCGGACACTCCAGGCCCCGCACGGGGCGCTTCGGGTGCTCCTGGGGAGGGGTCCGCACCGAGCCCCCAACGCCCAGCCAGTCCCGGACGACATTCACTTCCCCGAAGGGCACCTGTGGAGACAGACAGGCAGGTTCTGACCCACGGCTGGAGCCTTCCCGGCGCCCCCAGGACCCCGCCTACAGCCGCCCACGCCCCCTCACCGCTCCCCAACTTCCAAGGCAAGACTCAAGAGTTCCCTTGGGGCTGGCTAGAGAGAGCACAGCGGGTTGGGCGCCTGCCTGGCCTGCAAACCCCCAGCACCCCATATGGTCCCCCAAGCCCTGCCAGGAGGAATCCTGAGTACAGAGTTAAGAGTCACCCCTGAGCACTGCCAGGTGTGACCCAACCCCCCAAAGTTCCTTTGCCTGCGAGACCCACGCTGGGACTCAACCAGGACTCGCGGGTAGCACGGGGGACAAGGAGCTGGGAGGGATGGGACAGGGCTGACCACCGCTCTCCGGGCGCCCTCTCGGCCCGAGCCCCAGGCCCGGGCTCCCATCGATCATCATTGATCGGCTTTCATCATCCAGTGGGGGTCAATAAAAGCGATTGAGCCTCTGCCCTGGAGCCACGTCCTCGCCTCCACCTGCCAGGCACCCCACCGAGGGGCCGTCACTCATCCCCCGGTCTGAAAGGGAGGCAGGGTCTCCACCCCCCACCCCGGCCCGGAGCCAGAGCAGCCAGAGAGGCGAGTGTCTCTGCCACATCCAGTCCTGCCAACACAAACGACGACGGGGGGCTGCCAGGTTCCTTCTCCCCTCCACAACCTCCCCTCTAGGAGGGGGGAGATCCGGCCAGGTGGGGGGGGTTTGCTGGCAGAGGAAGGGGCTCTCAGAGGCAATTAGTGGGCAGCTCACAAGGAAACGGAACGGGCGTTAATGGCTTGGCTTCGGGGGGCAGTGAGGCCAGGAGTGGCTGAGACCACAGGGGCTGGCGAGGATCGGGAGGGACTGTGTCCCCACGGCACACACAGCCAGGGGTCCCCCCGGGGCACCCCCCCCCCCTGCTGTTTAAGACACGTCCACGTACCCCGGTCTGGGCCATGCCATAGGGCCCTGGGTTCATGCCGAGGAAGAGAACTTCCTTGGGGCCTTGGCAGTAGCGGGTGACGTAGCTGCGGTGCGGCTCCCAGGCGTACTCCACGGGATTGTAGATGTGGCCCACGGGCTCCGAGAACTGCAACTGGCTCAGCGCAGCGTTCAGCCGGAGCTCCTCCTCCAGGAAGCCTTCAGCCACACTCTGAGGGCAGGACACGGGCGGCAGCTCCCTCTGGGCCCCTGCGGGCGCGGGGAGGGGCCCTGGGGGGAAAGCCTGTGGAACGGCCATGTCACCATCACCTGGAAGAAAGACGGAGGCTTCCTCAGCCCGGAGCGGCAGGGACCCGAGTCACCAGGGCCGGGACGCAGAATGAGATGACAGCGGCCACTGCCCAAGCTCTGACAGGACTGTGCTCATCTCAAATCTATTTTTTTGGGGGGGGGGTCACACCCGGTTGCACAGGGGTTCCTCCTGGCTCTGCACTCAGGAATCACTCCTGCCGGTGCTCAGGGGACCCTATGGGATGCTGGGAATCGAACCTGGGTCGGCCGTGCGCAAGGCAAACGCCCTCCCCGCTGTGCTATCGCTCCAGCGCCTCATTCCAAATCTTGGTAGCAAGCTCCCCGCTCTGCCGCAAGCCCCCCTTCCTCTCCTTTTATGGCCCGGTGAGAGTGACCGAGAACCACCAATCACCCCACGCCACACTGCCTTCCCCCAGCGCAGGTCTTGAGTGGTCAGTTCCTCGGCCCCGCCAAACATCTGGCAGGGTCCTAATATACACTGGAGCCGACTTTCAGCACCTCGACCGTCATCCTGAATAAAAGCACCGAGCCAGGCTGCGGTTTAGAGCCGAGGAATGAGATGCAGGTGCACGGCCAGGGCTAGAGGGGGAACCACAATGACTTCCAGGTGGCAGCCACTGCTCGGTGCTGGCGGTGAGGGAGGAGTCTCCCTGATCCTCTGAACAAGCCCCAGCGCGGGTGTTGCTGCTCCCACATTACAGCTGAGCAAGCTCAGGTCCCACGTCCAAGGGCTGGAGCGACAGCACCGCGGGGAGGCTGTTTGCCTTGCACGCAGCTGACCCAGGTTCGATCCCCAGCACCCCATAGGGTCCTCCCCAAGCGCACTCCCCAAGGGAGTGACCCCTGAGCACTGATGGGTGCAGCCCCAAAAGACAAAATTTGAAACACCAAGTTGTCTAGCATCACTCGGTTCACAAGCAGTAAGACTGGGATGTGAACCCACACTAAGCGGTTCTCCTGGGGCCGGAGCGGGTAGGGGCTTGCCTTGCACATGGCTGACACTGTTCTATCCCCAAATCCCCACACAGTCTCCCGAGACCACCAGGAGTGATCCCTGAGCGCAGAGCCAGGAGCTCTGAGCACAGTCAGATGTGCCCCCTAGGGGGGGAAAAAAAAGTTCCCTTAACCCCAACACTCTAATTTCACCTTAGATGACTTAATCAGTCACTCTTCTAAATACTCTACAGTGCCTCAACCCCAGCAAAGTTTCCTTCCCACAAAGTTTCTTTCTGTGATCCAGAATGGGGACCAGAGTAGCACTGTCCTCCCATTGTTCATCGATTTGCTGAGCGTTTCCATTGTGAGACTTGTTGTTACTGTTTTTGGAATATTGAATACGTCACAGGGAGCTAGCCAGACTTTGCCGTGCGGGCGGGATACTCTCGGTAGCTTGCTGAGTTCTCCGAGAGGGACAGAGGAATCGAACCCGGGTCAGCCACATGCAAGGCAAACGCCCTAGCCTCTGTGCTATCGCTGGGAACCAGAGTAAACCCTCACAAACGACGAGATATGTCCAGAGCCTTTGAATGTCCCCCTCCAGATACAATGAGTGATGATACCCACTTGATCACATTGGGATGAAGTGGAGGAAGGAGGAGAGGAAGATGAAGGGGGGATGGGAGGAGGGAGCCCCAAAGCAAGCTCTGTGAGCCGCCAGGGCCATTCCCTCCTGCCCTCTCATCCCTCCCACACAAACTCGCCTTCCTTCCACCATACCTTCCAAATACCCATCCCGCCCTCAACACCCCATACTCCGTACCTGCCGTGTCTACATTCCTAGAGTCACACGCCCAGGCCCTGCCACCTCTCCACACCTCCAAATCTGCTCCTCTGTCCAGACACAGCTCCGACCCGTGCTGCGGGCAAACCTTCCGGTTTCAGACACAGAAGTGGCCAGAGCTCCGCACAGGCCCTGCCTCACAGGCTGCTGGGGCCTTCGGATGCGGATTCACGGTGCTTCCCTGGGCGATGCTGAGGGTGACAGGCGATTGTCACTGTGTAAGCATAGTTAGTAGTTTCTCTATCAACCTGCACCCTGCTTCCCCCTACCCCCCCGCAGTGAGCCTCCGGCACATCAGAGGCCTTTGAACTACGCTCCACACAGCCCAGGTCCTCTTAACAAACACTTGCTGAGCTCTGGCCAGTCCTTCTTCCACAATTCTATTTAAAACTGCCCTTTCCTGATGGACTCCTCTTGACCTTTTTATTTTTTTTTGGGGGGGGGTACACCCAGCTGTTGCTCCCAGCAGGGCACTAAAGCAAGCAGAGTGCAACGTGGGCATCTGCATCGGGTGTGGAATCGGAATGGAGTGGAAAGGACATCTGGAAGGACAGAACACACACCAGAGCGAGTAAGCGCAGGCTTCTGCTTGATTCCTCGGCACCACGTGGCAACCCCCCAGCAAAATAAAACAAAGCAGAAGCCTGAAAGGGAAGCTGTGAAGACTCAAATTATTTCAGAAGTTCTTGCTTTGCATCTCCCTGTGTACCAGCAAAATTAGTGGATTGGCTGTTCCGGCTCTAGAATCTCTCTCACACCTGAAGTTGGGTCTTGGACCGTTAGAGACTGTGCTGGAAACTGCAAGGCAGGGAACACACAAGAGAAGCAAACCTTGGGCTGGAGATCCCCCGAGGAGCAAAGAGGAGGAGGAGGAGGAAGAAAAGAAGTTGTTTCAGAGCCAGACCTAAAAGCTAATAGTCACAGGCCGGGTGACTTAAATCTCCGGTCCTGGTTTCATCTCTAAGGCCCTCTGAAAAAATCATTCGAAGTCTATGCAGTGAAAATGACAAACTTGGGGGCAGAGATAAAGAGCACAGTGTGGAGGGTACTTGCCTTGCACACAGTTGACCAGGGTTCAATGCCCAACACCTCAAGAGTTATCCCTAAGTAGAGCGCAAGGTGTAAGCCCTGCCATCACCACTCCAGAGACAGACACAGAGACAGAGACAGAGAGACAGACAAACTCTTGACGGGGAAGAATCCTACTTTTTTTTTTCTTTTTGGGTCACACCCGACGATGCTCAGGGGTTACTCCTGTCTCACGCACTCAGGAATTGCTCCTGGCGGTGCTCAGGGGACCATATGGGATGCTGGGAATCGAACCTGTGCCGGCCATGTTGGCTGCGTGCAAGGCAAACGCCCTACCCGCTGTGCTATCGCTCCAGCCCCAAGAATCCTACTTTAGGTGGGAAGATAAATAATGTACTATGATTAGAGTTTTAGTATGTTTTAAAATATCAAGAGAGCCTGAAAGAAGAGTCTAGAAGTCCTGCCTAGAGACACCAAGAGCCAGTGACTTTAAAATATAGATACTTTGAGAGGCCAGAGTAATAGAACAGCCTTGCACATGGCTGACCGGGTTCGATCCCTGGCATCCTTTATGGTCTCCCAAGCTCAGTCAGAAGTGATTCCTGAGCGCAGAGCCAGAAGTGATCACTGAGCATCGCAGGGTGTGTCCCCAAACAAACCCAAAAAAATAAATTAAAAAATACATTCTTTGGGGCTGGATATTACAGAGAATCCCAAGCACCACATGTGGCCTCCGGAGTCCACCGGGGGTGATCCTTGAGTGCAGTTTAAGACCTCAAATAATGAATTTGTGGCCAAAATAATGAATTTACTTTCTAGTAGCAGGATGCTGGTATTCTGATGGCAAGTCGCAACACCGTATTCCTGAACCATCAATAGTAACAGTATCACAGTACCTGCACTGTAGCACGTTCTCTGTTGTTCATTGATTTGCTCCAGTGGGCACTAGTAACATCTCCATTGTGAGACTTGTTGTTACTGTTTTTGGCACATCTAATACTTGTTGTTACTGTTTTTGGCATATGGAATATGCCACACCACGGGAAGCTTGCCAGTGGGCCGGATACTCTTGGTAGCTTGCCGGGCTTTCCGAGAAGGACGGAGATTGGCTGATCCGGCTCTAGAATCCGGGTCCGCCATTGCAAGGCCGATGCCCTACCAGCTGTGCTATCACTACAGCTCACCTAAATCTTAAAAATGAAAAATTTTGGCTGGAGAGTTCCACACATAGGGTGCTTGTCCTGCACACGGCCACCTGGGTTTGATCCCTCGCACCACCCTGGGACCTGTCAGGAGTGATCCCTGAGCACTGTATCACTGTCATCCTACTGTTCATCTATTGCCTCGAGCGGGCACCAGTAACGTCTCCTTCGTCCTAGCCCTGAGATTTTAGAAAGTGCCACATTCGAGGCTCTTTCAGGGTCAGGAGAATGAGACCCATCATTGTTACTGATTTTTGGCATACTGAATGCGCCACGGGGAGTTTGCCAGACTCTGCCGGGCGGGCAGGATGCTTTCGGTAGCCTGCCAGGTTCTCCAGCGTAAGAACATAGTGAGGCATAAACCCCAAGGACTGAAAGACAGTAATTCAAGGAAACTTTTTTTTTTAAAGAAAACATGCTTTATGAACTAGTGCCCTATTACACTAAATGCACTAGATGCACCGGAAAGAAGGGTTATCCAGCCCTAAGTCTGGCTCCCTGGATCGCTAACCCTAAGTCCACTCAGTGAGGAGAGAATGACGGCACCATCTGCTCGCCCGTCCCTTCGGGGCGCTCAGGCATAAGCAGGCAGAAACTCTCCTGAGTTGGGGCGGGGGGCGATGGAGCTCAGGGGCACCGTGCATGCTTCGCGGGTGAGGCACCGGGCTCGTCCCTGGCATGCACAGGGAAACGCAAATAAAACAGTCAAGGGGCTGGAGCCATAGCACAGCGGGGAGGGCGTTTGCCTTGCAGGCGGCGCGACCCGGGTTCGAGTCCCAGCATCCCATATGGTCCCCCGAGCACCGCCAGAAGGAATTCCTGAGTGCATGAACCAGGAGCAACCCCTGTGCATCGCCGGGTGTGACCCAAAAAGCAAAAAAAAAAAAAAAAAAGACTAATAGTAATAAAAAATAAAACAGTGGACACTGGCTCCCGGGCGGCTCCAGCCGGGCTCTGCCCCAAAGAACCACGAGCCGCAGCGCAGGCTCCGCCCAGTGGGAAACGCACGTTGCCAAGGAGCTCCCGGGCGGCTGTGTGGGTTCGGCCCTCTCCGGGTCGGGACCGGCCCAGACACCGCGAAGGCCACCGGCCACCGGCTCCCCGACTCCCACCTGCCCCGCCGCGGAGCCCCGAGGCCCCTGCAGCCCGGGCGCCCGCCCTTCCTCACCTGCCGCAGCTCCGCTTCCGGCTTCCGGTCTCCGCCCCGCCCCCGGAAGCGGAGCCCGGAGGGACGCGCAGCCGATCTTGTTCGGGGAAGGCGATTGGTGCAGCCGGGCCACTTCCGCCGGAAGTGCTCAGGTACCCGGAAGGCGTGCTACGGCAGCACGAGGGGTTGCTGGGACTTGTAGTTTATTCTTTGTCAAGCGCTATGGAAAACTTGAGCAAGGCCAGGCCATCTCTGTAAGGTCCTTTGAGATTCTGGTTCCTAGCCCTAAAGACATCGCTCTTCCAAAAGTTCATCCGTAACACTTTCCCCAAAGGAACTGAAAATTAGGAAGCTTCAACTGTGACCAATTTCTAACCCACCTGGGGGTATTCAGAAGGATCAAAGACCATTTCTAGTGGCGTTCATGCCCAATTCAATCAGCTAATCAGTGGCTGAATAAATAGCAGTACTCCTACATTAAAAAAAAAAAAGACCATTTCTAGGGGCTGGAGAGAGAGCACAGCGGGTAGGGCATTTGTCTTGCACGCGGCCTACCCGGCTTCGATTCCCGGCATTCCATATGGTCCCCTGAGCATGGGCAGGAGTAACTCCTGAGTGCGGAGCCAGGAGGAACCCCTGTGCATCACCAGGTATGACCCAAAAAGTAAAAAAATAAAAAATCGTTACTAGCCCTCCTGTGTCCGGGATATCCCAGTATGAAACCACCTGCAGCCTTCCAAGGGCTGCTTATAGAACATCCACAAAGATAGTTACGGCATACGCAAATAATTCTTTGGTAAATACTGTTGAGACCCTTCCATCCTCTGTTTTTTGCGGGGGAGAGGAGGGAGGACAGTGCTCAGAGCTTATTCCTGGCTCTGCTCTCAGGAATAACTCCTAGCAGGCTCTGGTGACCACAGAGGGCTTCAGGGACCTAACCTAGCTCTGCCCAGGACAAGACAAACATCCTACCCTCTGTACTATTGCTCTGGCCACCCCCATCCTCCATTATTATCCAAGTTCCTATCTCCAGTGACCTTACGTTTGTCTTGCCCAGTTCTACAATATCCCGATCTTCCCAATCTCACCTCTCAAATGTGTGGATTGAAATAGGTAGGGATTCAAATAGGCAGTTGAATCTGCACAGGATCCCTTCGCTGACTAATCTTAATCCTATGGACCCATTTAACAGTCTGTCCCCCTCTCCTCCACATTCCAATGTCCCACTCCTGGCTTTGTTCATGATCTCTGCCTGGGATAGTGTCTGTCCTAACTATGAGATGTTCATTAGACTAGATGTCCCCTCAGCTCAGTTATCTCCTAGATTCGTCACATCTTCACCACCTTCACATCATAGTACAGCCATAACACCAACCAGGGAGAAGCAAGGTCTCCTGAAGATGGTAATACCTGTGAGCCCTATTACAGGAGACAGCAGGATCCTATTCTTTCTCCCAAAGCTTCCCCTGCCCTGCTACCAAGGGACAAGAAATTAGTGGGAGTGTAAAGGAACTGTGACCAGTGACCGCTGACACGAAAGGCAAGGAACTGTCCCCTCCCTTGTAAGACTTTGGACATTGAATTATTTCACCTCCAAAATTTTATATTTCCTGAGTTTTCATTTGTGCCAGATTTTCTCCTTCTTTCTCTCCCTTTGCTTTCCACAGCCTAAGTAGA